CCTCCAGCTCCTCCTCCCTCAAACCACAAATCAAGTGCAGACAAGACTTTTCCCACCCGGTCGATCGTAATTTCATCCAATCATTCCCCTCAAGGTGGGGTCAACACGCCGCTTTCGCTCGATGATGGCACCTTCAATCAAGCAGAACCTTGAACCCCCGTGACTCTCAACCAGGCCAATGATCCAATCAATCCAAAAACCCAGTCAATGAGGTCTCAGATATGAGGAATAAGAATGGATGATAATCAAGTACATAGATGATACTCATACTGAGTAGTACTGTACTCCGGGCAGATCACCAACAACATCTATGACCCATTGAACAGTAGTACTCAGTCTCCTCATACAATACGCAGTATTTGATGAAGCGAGAACTCTCTCTCCAGAAGCCCCACGATCGGGGTCAGTCGAGACCACTACGCGCCTGGGCAAGTAATGGTAATCATCATCATCATCATCATCATCAATGCAATGACGGAATCACGTCATGCTTTAGAGGACTGAAATGATTGTGGAATAGTCGAGAGGGACTGACGACCCGAAACTGGAACAGGATCTGGAAGCCTCAAAAGGTGGGGGGTAGGGGAACGGATCTTCGTCATTCAAAATCAGCTGTGGAGCCATCCATAGCGACCAACAACTTTGGAGTCTGTCTGTCCTTCGGGTCTGAGAGATCGCTCTGCCGGTGCCAAAAGGGACGGACGGTTCGTCTCGGAGATGCAGAAGGGAACCGGGCAAGCAGACTGGTAGTGGAGACCAGCGCCTGTTTCGGCTTCGTCGAGTACTGAGTGTGTTCTCGCCCTTCGGTGTGACTCGGTCCGATCCTTTGGACACACACTCTCTCTCTTTCACCCCCACCAGCGCTTCCCGTTTCTCTTTTGCTGTTCAAAGTGCAAAATAAACAGTGACGACGATGCTATTCGGCTGACCCATCGATCGATATCCGATTCACGATTCAACACCCACCAATGAGGAGACTTGTGGATGTTGTGGAGCTGGAGGGGATGGGGATGGGAATGGGAATGGCGAGAAAGGCATGTGTGAAACAATGCGCGCACCATGGTCGCAACAAGAAAACAAGCATTGAAAACACTTGACAAAAAAAAAAAGGAAAAAAAGAAAACAAAAACCCCTCCCAAGAACGAAACAAAGAAGAATGGGAGATCAATAGAGAATAAGGAAGCAGCTATGTTCTAGAAAACATCCAAAGAAAAGATCGTCTTCCACTTACCATGCGTGTTTTCCAGCTGCAAGAAGGAGAGAGCTCAGCAGTAAGCAAGGGGTAAAGAAGCAGCCCCCAACAACGCGCGTTCAAAGGTCAATATGACCAACGGTGCAGATGCAACGAGGATAAATCGCTCAGCCCTGGCCGAGGAAATATGATAGATCGCGGAGCTTATGTCGGTTGCAGTTGCGGAGCGGCAGATGCCTGGCGGTTGTTAATCTCGTACAGCACCGGGACAGGCCTGATGCGTGGAGGATTCAATTCTGAATGTTCTAAAAGAAGGGTCGGTTCTTAGACAGGTTCTATCGCATGAGGCCAATTGACCAGAACTCAATTGAAAAGTAAGATGTGATATTAAACGCCCGCTGAACGGGGGAGGAGGGCCTCGGGCAGCTTTTTGTATGGACGACCTACTGCAGCAAAGCTCTGTCTGATCTCAAGCATCCATCCCATGAGGCTTGGCTGAAGCGGTTAGAAGTGGATTTGGAGGAAGGAACTTAAGGTGGCAAGTGTGCTAGTCTGGACTGGATTGGATCGTCGGGTACTGTAACGGGCAGACTCCGGCTGGACGTTGGAAGTACTGTACGGAGTGTACTCCGTACAGAGGTATAACTATAACTATACCTGCCTCCCTCCCTCCTCTTTACGTGGCTCGCGTCATATATACAATTATGGGGCATCTCAGTCAGTAGCGACTCGATTGTGCTATATTCCCTTTTCGATTACCGTAGATACTGATGTACGTACCATGTACAGTACATTTATAGTACCTAAAACACATGGCGATCCTCCAGAAGGATTCCGCGATCCATTGCATCGGAAAATCAGGCCACGGACAAACATACATACATACATACATGTATACATGCATGCATACATACATACATAGTACAATACACAAGGGCCAAGAAGCGTGTGCACCTGCCATCCCCATAGTCCCTGCCTGTTGGCCTTGACTACGGACCTGGACCGGAGAGGCAGTTTCCGGTCGGTCGAGCGAGTCGACTCGACTCCTCGTTAGGCGCGCACGACGGCCTGACGACGGCCGTGCAGGCTGGGTCTGTCCCCGCATTGATTGGCTCCAGCCGCGCAGGATCTGCATTATGCCAAGCAGGCTGTGCAGCCATAGGTCAGGTAAGGGGAAGGGCAGGAAGGACATACTCCTTGAAAGAGACGGACTGGAAGGCAACCTTGGACAGGAAGAATGGAGTGATAGAGAGAGGGAGAGGGGGAGAGCGCGTTGCTACTGACACCCAATTGTGCCAGGTTGAGCACGGGTTGATAGACCAGAATCGTCCTCGAGGCAGCCGGTCGATCATTTCGATGGTTGTTAACCCCCAGGAAGGGCTGGACCAAAGCACTTTCTCTTATCATCAGTTTGTTCATCATCATAAATAAGCTGGGTGGATCTACTACCCGAGCAAGACAAAGAGGTGCGACTTGAGAGACAGCCAGTCAAAATCCCGCAACCTCCGGAGCCGGCTTGCAACAAAGCTACAAACGAGACAGAAAGACGGGGTGGTGGTGGAGGTGGGTTTCCACACCAGCCCAACATCCCCCTGCCTGCAGCTAGCTACCTACCTAGCTAACTTAGAGACTTGGCCTACTCGTAGCTCTCCCCAGGCCAGTGTCGCCTTCCTACTGCAAGGGCCTGCAGGCTTGCAGGACCGTGTCTGTGTCACGGGGTGTAACATATACAGTCAATAGTACATACTACATACATAAATGTACAGTACATACTACGGAGTACCGTACATAAGACGTAGTTCGTCGTTTTTTTTTCGTTTCGAGGTGCCCAAAGTGGACATGTGATCCGACCATATGATTGCGGGTAACATAGACTTCACCAACATGGTAGCATGGAGGTAGCATGGTAACATAGTAACATATATAAGTAGTAAAATGGAAATATGGGGACATGGATTTTCCAGAACCCAGCAGAAGAAGTAAAGAAATTTCGAGGAATGCTGGGTGTAAGGAGAGGGGCTAGCCCTATCCTACCTTGCGGCGCCAACTATGTAATCGGTCTAGAGGTGCAGTACTCACCAAGTTAACAGTTGTGACTACGACCTACAGATACGTAGACAAGGGGGGCGCTTTTCGGTCCGTCCGTACTGTACAGTACATAAGAAACACTCCCCCGCCCTTGACCAGCCAGTCAGGCGGCGAGTAGCAACCTGCGATAGTCCTGAAAGCCGAGAGCTACTCCGTAGTGATGATGAAGGAATTCCGGCGCGACCAGAGGGTCCTCGCTCCTCAGGCTCCACCTTTCAATCTCTTTGGCGCGTCTGGCGAGCAAACAGCGAAACCAGTGGACCTGTTGCCTGTTTGAGTTTGGCGGCTATAGATAGTAGACACTTTAAGTATCTTGTCGATAGTACTCGTAGTAGAGGAATAAATAGTATGGATGGGAGGAATCAATTTCACCTGGTTGGGCAGGTCTCGAAAAAATGGATGGCCTTCACACACGTGATACATATACTGTATCATCCCATCGGTTCATCCTGTTTGCAATCTGCAATCGGAGAGGAAGGCCTTTGTGTGTCTCGACGTTCGAATGTACGACCTGGACCGACCGGGCGTTGGTCGGACGAATACGTCAAGGCTACAGAGAAGCCACAGAGAATGTTCTATCGGGTGACACCGCAGGCGAAGACTTGGTCGTTGTAGCACAAGATTTGCAGCTGAAGCCTAGAGCCTATCGTAGAGGAATCCCGTAACTTAGAAACACATTGCGTTCCCAGCTAGGTCGATTATATTGAGTACTGGGCATGAAAGTACCGTACGTACTAGGTACAGAGTACGGAGTATCTGAGCGAGTAATGCAAAAGTGAGTGATTAATTGGGTTGAATTCTAAACCAGCCACACCTCCTCCCCTTCCCTTCACGTCATCTTGCCGATCATTTTGCAGGCGGTTGAACCTGGGGAACCTCTGTTAGTCTGACCTACTCGCACGCACACCCAGGTTCTTTCTTTGCGACTCAGTAACCTTTCTCCCCTCTTGCTGAAACTCAACGGTAGGTTAATTGCTCGTTTGAACTCTGGTCGATCTCTTGATGATCATCACACCCATGTTCTAGTGGACGTACTGCCGAACCAGACGGAGGGCCCGAAAAGTTTAAGTGGCTACCACAGCAAAGCCACATCAACTGATCCCCTGATCCCTCCGTGTGTAGTACTCCGTAGTGTGTACACAGTACGCAGTATCGTACTCTCGTCCTCGTAAACAGGGTCTATGCAAGATCATCCCACAAAGAAAATAAGCCAGCCAAGGATCACAATCCAATCTTCCGGTTCTAGAATGAACATGGAAGCCCTTTTCTCGCCCGAATTTGCCACTCAGCAAGACCGGTGGCAGCCTAGCAGAGGTAGGATCTTAGAAAGGAGCACTTCCGACGTGACACAGGCACACTCACGCACGTCCTGCCCAAGACATTCCGGAATCCTCCGTACGGAGTAGATAAGAGGGATCTCTCTCTCTCTCTCTCTTCCAGAACATCAAAAGGTGGCGGCAAACGTTGCAACAACGCGCGGTTCCTTATCAGTTGATAGGTTAGCCACTGTAGGAGGAGTAAGCTTACTGGCTGTACACTAAGCCCTACCGGGTCAAGCGGTGACCGACCTCGGGACCACTTAACCGCAACCGGAACTATCCTTTATCAAGTGGCGACTCAGATTCTACCTACTCATACTCATACCTCTGCAGTCTTCTGCATATCTGACTGACATTTACTACCTATGAGTATGACTTCTATATAGTTAGTAGTAGCCAATCCAGTAGTCATTACTGTCCTAATCGACTGTTACACTACATAATTCCATAGAATTCCACGCAGTGTGCAATCGCTACTACAGTTAAATAAAAAAAATAGATCCGTGGTCAGCCCACTTCAGCCACACACACACACACACACACACACACACAAAACCCGTGTATGAACGATTGTCGGCTCCATCCGCCCACCGAGTTGCTCAAAACGGTTCTGGCCAGATGATGCAGTGGCATTTGTCTAGAACTTTTGCGTAAAATTGGCAGCTCAAGTCAGCCTCGGCAATTCTGTGGATCTTCAATTGCCCTCGCCAGGCTACAAGAAAATCCATCATTCTTCGTTACTGACTGTGTAGGCATTCACCAGGGCAATGTTCTACCCCAGAAAAGAAAACGAGTCCCGCTCGCAGCCACGTGTAGACCTGTAAGCCCTCAATCCCATCGCTTCCCTAGCTTCGGTTGCATGCCACGTTATGAAGGGCCAGCTGTCAGGTCGGTCTGTCTTTTCACCGGTGGACTTTTGGTGTACTGTACGTACAGTACGAGTGTGGATTGGACGTGTATTCCGAGTTGTAACAACACCCACTCCGACACTCGATCTTTGGGTATAGTGTATACGTGTATAGCTTCATCCGGAGCCGAGATATACCCAGGATTCCCCATCCAGAGTTCCTTCCTTCCGAAGATCAAAAAGATCAAAAAGAAGAAAAGGAAGAAAAGGAAGGAACCCGAAGGGAAAGATCGAAAAAAGCGAGACAACCCATTGCCAAGCTTGAATCAACAAACAACAAGATCATCCCACATGCGGGGGAGCGGTGCCACAAGCTGCATATCATGATCTTTGGTCACATTACGACCTATGTAAGTATACTCCGTACGGTAGTAAGTCCAGCAGGGTAGTAAGTTGTTATTCCTCATTGTTGATGGGGATACGAAGGACGACCGACCATCCTTTGACGTCTAGTTCCAGGTGCGAAATCAAGTAGATCCACAATTCCTCCGCCGGTAATTGTCACATCCGCTCTCACACCCACATCCCTTGGACGGGGAGGGATGATCGTGACATACTTCAAACCCAGGATTCGTCACTCACTCATGAAGTAGTGGACCGGATTTCTGCAGGACAAGATAGATAGAAAGTGTGGGAGAAGGGGTGGGCTGAGTGATCAGCATATCTCCCGAACTATTACTACTATTCAGTATGCCAGTAAATTAAGTACAGTACTTCTATCTTAGTTGTTAGCATTAAGAAAAGAAAGAATGATCGGACAGTCACGCCCTGGTGGTATGATGTCTGCCTGTCATGCACAAACTGGTCTAGATTCTAGATTCTGCAGAGGGGGGGGAAGGTGTTTCATTCTGGGAGAAATGGTGGGGAAACCATTCCCCTACAACCTACATCTCTTGTATAATACACAAGGGACACATATATTATCGTACACATCAACCACTACAGGGTCCAATGAGATTCTGAGGCTCAGTTTCAGCTGGGAGGAAGACAACCTTCCAGCCCACCTAATCAGCGAAGTCTTGACTATCCCCCCTCCCTACACTTTGTACGGATAACGTGTTGTAGACGGTGGGCATTCCTGGATCCTCGATATGCCCTGCACCTCCCCACTGAATCATGTTTCAACCATCAACCATCATCAAGCAAGCAAGCAAATATGCTCCATGCGCAATGCGTACTTCCAAAACAGGTAATGCACCAAGTTCCCTGGGCACTGCAAAAAGAACAGTCGAATGATCCATCACCACGACATACCTAGTGTATGCTTCTCAGCCAGCTCAATCGGGTCTTTCCCCGTAGCATCATTATCCCCCAGCCAAACCCCGCTGGCAGCCAAGTAGCAAACATTAACTGAATTTATAGCGCTGAATTGCGCAGAGTCTCAGTCCACTTCCCCCTCCGCCCTCCTTCACCATCAACTGGACTGGGAAGAGAAGCTGCTGACCATAGTGGATGAATCTCGGTTCAATGGCTACCTGAATACCATACCCTATAAGAAAGGGACTGAAAACTATCTCTCTTGTCCTATCAAACGTATCAAGGTTAGTCTAGACCGTTATCCTATCATGCGTTCATTTGGGCTTCTGCTTACGTGCATGTAATGAGATAGATCCCCCCCCGGGGAGGTGGAGTTCATATCCAAGGAAAGCAAAAGCTCATCATCGAGATAGTCCATTGTTCGACTGCACACATTACACCAGCAGAGCAAGACTGCCTCAGATCAGGCAGATTGGGAAAGTTTATGAGCTGGGGCCCGACGGACGATCCACCACTTCGTCATTGAGGGGCCCCGAGTACCAGGCGCCTTTGCTTGCTCCATCCGAAACTTCCAAATCACGATCCCTGCATGAGAAGTGTCCGGATGCGTGAAATAAACAAGTGACGGATGCTTGATGATTAGCCCGACCTCAACAGACCAGTATTCAAGGAGATATGTACCCAACAGGCATACACATAAATGGATTTATAGATTGATGGATAGTAGATAAGTAGATGTAAATCCGCCCCAAGACCAGGAGTAACAACGAACCCGGTCTCCAGGGTCGAATAATGCAATGCAAGTACGCTCCGACAAGGATGATAGAAATCGACTCGGCTGAATTTTAGACTGGAGGGTGGTGATAGCAACAATGACAGAGAAAATAAGCACAAGTGAAGAGGACGACGACAGAATCCAACTAGAGAGAGCTACCGTGAAGAAAGACAAGCACACACAGCCGTGCACGCACACACGGCTTACATTGGAGTCTGATATTCGGAACTTGAGACTCGGGTCCCCCAGTAGATGAGATAACAACAACAAACAACTAGAAAAGAGAAGAAAAAAAAAAAAAAACAGCCACAGGCCGCCTGACTTGATCGCATGAACTCCTTTGACCGATGATGGGAGGGGACTTTCATCTGTCCTGCACAACATACCCCTCGATGAAGAGAATGCGCACGTAGTCAAACACATGGATAGATGCTAAAATGCGGTGTAAATAAAGCAGAATACTCCGACCCCTGTCGATCACGATGACAAAAAGCACACATGTGACTTCCATGCTGAAGATAACCCCGATCTGCTGCACTCACTTTGTCGCGCCCCCTTCCTTATCATTAGAGATTACCACCAATAAACAGCGTCAGGTGAGCTCACACTGTGGCGAAGACGCGGGCGTTGGAAGTCGGGTTGTGATAGATAAGAGAGAGTGTGTGTGTGCATGTGGTCGAGCGAGGGGTGAACCGAGAGGTAGACAGCAGTGCGATCTTGTACTCTGATACAAGACAAGACGGAACTCTAGTATTAAAATGGTTCGTGACCGAAGATGCGAGACGAAAGACAAGAAAGAGAGAGCAAATCACTAATATAGTTCGCCGTTCCGAGCCGTAGCACCATGAAAGAGTGTTGGAAATGATGAGGGAAAGGAGGTTGAGAGGGCGTAGGAGAGTCGTTCTATCGGATAGGAGAGGGAATAGCGTCCCCCCCCTCTTCGAGGCGAGAAGACGGAAAACTCTGGCACATAAGAAGAAGCGTGAGGTGTGTGAACTGAAGTGCTCAACAACCCCACCAGAACCCAAGGGATGCAGACATAAGAAAAGAAACACATATAGCCCTCTCTCCAGATCCAGGATCGTATTTTCCTCTGCCAGCAGCAGCAACGTCGGCATAGCCGAGCACGTACGATAGAATGGAATGGGAAGGAGGTGCTTGGGCTATTGCTCATGATGGTCGCATGCTGCCTGTCATACCTCCCTGGGATGTTGAAGACGGTGAATAACGAAAGAGAAAGTCGAGATGCCAACATGACAAGGATATTTCGTAGAAGTACAGAATCGCTCGCGTCCCGCTTTTTTTTAAATCAACCTGGAGGGCGACCGGGAATAAGCATAGGAACCGCGACAAACGGAGAGACGAGGATCGTCACCTACCGCAGCAGAGCGCCTTCATCATCTTCTGCACGAATGTAGGCTGCGGCTCATTGTTCGCCGGACCACCGGGGCCTTGCTGGCTGGTCTTGGCCGGGTTTGCAGGGCTGCCCATCTGTCCGGAAATGTTGGCATTCGAGTTCTGGAACTGCGCTTGAGTTGAAGCCGCTGGCGTGGCATCAAGGCCTCCGCTCTGACGCTTCGGGGCCATTCCTCCAGACACGCTTGGCCGATCGCGCGTCTTTCCAGCTCCAGGTTTGGCCGGAGATGGAGGCGGAGGCTGCGCCGCATTTAAACGATCAGCAGTCACTCCTGGTCGGCTACTCCGGAGCTGTTGAGCGTGAAGCTCCCGCGCGGATGAGTTGGGAACGGTGTTGTTATGGAGATGCTGCTGGGATGAGTACGATTTGTACTCCCAGCCTCTACCATTGTTGAGCTTCATCCAGTCATATTCTCCATCTTCGACATCGCCAGTATTCTTGAGGGCCTGCGTCATCAGGTCCCGGAGGTAGTCGTAGTCGGGAGTATCTTCGAATCCGAGATTGCGGACATAGGTCAGGTATTTCGTGAACTCTTCTGTTCGTGGTATTAGTATTGTTTGGGAGGTAAGAAACTCGCAACAGTCATACCTGGGAAACCATCGCACAAATCCTTAATCGCAGTAGTCTGCTTCTTTTCGCCAATCTTCTCGTACTTTTGCTTGTTGGTGGCAGCCTTGAGACCCTGCCAGGGGAGTCCACCTCTCAGGAAATACAAGAAAACATGGCCGAGCGCCTCGAGATCATCACGGCGCGATTGTTCCCGTCCCAGGTGGGTGTTGATGCTCATGTAGCGGGCTGTGCCGGACAGCGATTTCCGCTCGCGATAAGGGATATGCTGCTTGGTCTTGGGATCTCTGTATTGCTTGGCCATTCCGAAATCGACAACGTGGATTACATTAGCGGCTTTGGTACTGGGGCGACCGATGAGGAAATTGTCAGGCTTGATATCGCGATAGATCAAGTTCTTCTCGTGGATAGTTTGGACTCGAGACAGCTGTTGGAGGTATTAGAGATATGGAAAGTGGAGCGAACAACATGGAGCTCACCATCTGTTTAGCGACCATGACAACAGTCTTGATTGAGAACCGCCGGTTGCAGTGATCAAACAAATCCTCCAGACTGGGGCCAAGCAGGTCGATGACCAAGATATTGTGGAGGCCTTCCTGACCAAAGTAATAGACATTGGGAATGCCAGCTGCGCGGGATTAGCCCTGATTCTGAGCGGGCGGACCAGGATAGACTTACGACACCCGACAAGGATCTTGTAGGTCCGATATTCATCACGAAGTTGCGGGGCATCACTCTTGCGGGGTTCCTGTTGATGATTAGCATCATGGAGGAAAACGACCTTGTGCACCGGTGCGCGGTGTCTCGTACAAATTTTATCGCCACCTGTTGGTTATTCAGGAGATTTGTTCCCTCGAAGATCACACCGAACGATCCTTCGCCGATCTTCTTCCCTACACGATAGTGAACACCGACGACATTGGATGATGAGGAGGCCATGGCTGCGGGAGTCGGACAAGTCTGGCAAGTCGGACAATGAAGGCGAGAGACCGCAGACAAGACAGATATCGGATGTGGTGATCAGGGGACTTGAGAACTGACTTCACACATGAGGTTAGCCCGAGAGAAATGAACTGGTTGAGACAGTGAGAAAAGGAGACTGTCGGACAATAGGCAGAACAGGCAGTGATACGAGACAAGTGCTTGTCAGGGGAGAGGGAATGCGAAAAGACGAAATTGATGATGGGTCCGGGGAGGTGTCTCACAACAAGCCCGATGTTTACCAAGCTCGACCCTGCATATGAAGATGGGACCCGGGGAACAGGGGTGACAAGATTGGGGCAGATACCGACTGCGGTGAAAGGCAGACGAAGGGCAGGGGACAGCTACTCGAGCGATCGCGAGGACGAGGATTCGAAGGTGGTGCCAAAAGGTTGCAGAAGTACCCTCGGAAGAGGGGGGCAAGAGGGAGGCGGCGAAGCGGCGTCGAGCGAAGTTGGTTTGGTGGTGACGGGAGGGAAGAACCAGGGATTCCGGGGGGGAGAGAAGAAGACAGACTGGGGGCTGCAGGCTGACTGACGGTTCAAAGATGCGTCGGTACGCGAAAGAGGAGGAATATATCCAGCGATGAGACACAGAGGCGATCAAGATAATCGAATAAAAAGAAAGATTCCAAGCGAATCCCCTTGAAATTGACCAAGCGCGTGGCAGTAGCAGCAGGGCCCGGACGGCGATGAGATGGATGGGAATTGGGAGGCCGAAGCCGTAGGAAAGGAAAGGATTGAGGAGATGGATGAGATTGGAGGAATTGAGGACAGAGGTGAGCAGTGAACACACCAGGACTGGTATGAACCAACTACTGCTACGGCCTGCCTACCAGGGAAAGAAAGGGAAAAAAACGAAAGGGAGGAGGAAGGAGGAGGAGTAGGAGGAGGAGAGTAGAAGACAGTGAGGAGAGGAGAAAAACGAGGCGGAGAGAAGAGGAAGCGGGAGAAAGAGGAGAGGAAAGACTAGAGGCTGAGTGAGGAGGAGCAAAGCTGTTGTTGCTGCTACTACTGCTACTACTGCTACTACTACTACTGCTACTACTACTGCTACTGCTGCTCCTCCTCATCCTCCCACTATACAATACCAGGGCCAATGCCCGTGTTAGTGCCAGTACAGTAAAACAATGCCAGTGCTTACTCGCCCACTCACTCTTTCAGGCACTCCCTAAGCTACTAAGGTACCACTTTACTACCACTTGCTACTACAAAGGCGATGGATTGGTTTGGCTTGGTTTGGTTCAGGCCTGGTATGGCTCGGTCTGGTCGGTCCTGGTCTGGGTCCTTTTGGCTCCTTTTCTCTCTCTTCGATCCTTTCCTTCTCTTTCCCGTGATTTTTTGGGGGGGTTCTTTTTTTTTGTATCTATGCTTTTATCATCTCCTATTCTTCTGTTGTATATACTTTCTTCTATCATGTACTTCTCCCTTTTCGTTGATGTGATTGAACTTGATTTGGTACGAATGGGGTAAATCTGTACTCCTACAGACTGATTGGATAGTAAAACAACAATGGACATAATGCTGCTGTTCTTGATCAAGCTTGGGTACGGATTCTGCCCCGTTTTTTTTTTTTTTTTTTTTCTTTTCTTTTTTTCTTTTTTCCCTTCCCTTCCCTTCCCTCTTTCCCACGCCCCCTGGTCGGTATGGTAACATCTGGTATGGAATACCGACTAGTGGAAACTAGCCGGGCGGTGATGGCGCCGATGGGCGATGATGGATGAAAGGGCCCCCAAGCGATAGGGGAGAAAGGGCGGTTATCGGACGGTTTCGGGGTATCAATTGTGTGTGTCACTATGGTGCCTCCTTCTCAACTTCAGGATTGGGGGGGGGAGGGAGAGAGGCGATTGAATATTACTTTGAGACAGTGGGAATAAGCCATGCATGCATAGATGCATGCTTTGAACAATCCACATCCCGTCGGTAAGGTACCAGAGTAGAATGTTATGAGTCCAATTTGTTTATCCTAGAATCTTACATAGTTGTGGGATGGTTCTTGTTCTTGTCCTTGCTCTTGCATCAGTTCCTTGAAATCAATTGATCAACATCAACATCATCATCATCATCATCAGCGACAGCAAGCAACCGCAATATTAAACAGCCAGAACTACTTAGTACTAGCTAAAACTGGGACGGGGCACACGGCAGGTTCCTCTCGCGCGTCTCCTGTTCTTCCCTCCTCCGGCCCCCTCCGCCCCTCTATAAACCAAATTAAGTTACCACTTGCTACCAACTAAGTAGATTAGGTACATCTCGGTAAGCTTCGAAGATTCTATTAGTCCATTCCAGAGGCCAGCAAGACCAAGAGACAGGCGGACGTTGACAGAAGAGAAGAAGAATTCCCATCCTCTTCCCCCTCGATTCACAAGCATGAGTTTGAATCATTATTCTCGAGTACGGAGTAGATTTCGGAAGCTTCGCCCCGGGCACCAGGGGACGGAGTCACTAGCGGCGCCTCTAGGCCAAATTAGCTCTATATGGAGAAATGGCTCGACGAGATATCAACCCGTTAGACGCGCCACTGTCTCTCACTGGTCTGGTCTGCTCCCACACCCCCTCGGAGGGTTCTAGCCATCTTTGACGGCGAAAATGGCAAACAAGAGCAATTCTTCAGCAACTAGGTGTCGGCATGATGCCACCAGGAATGGGGGGTTCGGGGATGGAAAAGGAAAACAATGTACAGGGGAGCAAGCGCAAACAACATTCATCTCAAGTGACTTTCTAGAATCTTAATTCCCTGCCGAACCAAACCTTACAGAAAGAGTTACTACAGTGACTGGATTCTACTTTTTCCTGCGGGCTTGACGCCCGTAATTATACCCAACAGAACTGGTACGGCTGGGGAATGAGGATAGGCAGATGGATGGATACCTGTCCGTATCTAACAAGATTATGGAGAATTGGTTGGATTTAGTTACGTAGTGCCAGTGGGTGGGTTCAGTTGTTTATGTGCCTTAGTGCCAGGTACCTATCGATCGGTTATCCGATCAGTGAGTCTCGGAAGAGTGGTGAGTAGTTTATGATTATTGTCATTATTATTATTATTATGATTATTATTATTATTATTATAATTATTATTACCGTCTTAAATGAATCTTGATGAAATAGCGACCATCTATAATTGGTAAAGGACAAGCGCTATGCGCTCCGGAGAGCCGAGCCGTTGCTGGCAAGCAAAGAGAAAAAAGAGAGGAACGAATGGAAAAGATGAAATGGATGATTACTCCGTAAGTAAAGTACACTAACTCCCTAGCTATACTGTAACTATATCGTGGTCCATGGCCTTTTCATATGTTTATACATGCGGTATCCAATGCTCAGGGACAGATAGACATGTATTGTAGGCCAATCGCCTTGTTCAATAATGGGTACAGAAATGACCCGTCATTGTAGCTGTCAACCAGTAACTCACCAAGATCAAGTCGTTACTTTGTACAGATCCGTAAGCGCCAGATGTATAGTTAGTTATCTGAATGAGTTCCCCGACTTCAATTAATCAAGCCCTGAGGCGGTGATCGGTAAGAAAGCGATAGCTAGCCTAGACTAAGGGGAAGGAAGATTGGAGAACATGCCCAGTGGCTTGAATCTCACTGCGCTGGCAGCCTGGCACTGCACCCCTGACCAGTCCTGACTGCGCCCTGGGGGGCCACCACGCTTAGGGTCTGGAGCTACGACAGTCCCGGTTAGTCAAGAGGAGAAGCCGGTGGAGTTGCGACCTAAAATGGAGTCTCTTTTTAGTTTCTCCGTACGATACAGTACAAAACATGCCAGTGTACTTATTCGATACTAGATATTAGCTCCGTACAGTGAATCCGTGATGACCTGTAAAAAGGTACCTAGTATCACTCCACAGTTACCAACCACACTAGGTTACTAGGTTGGGTTCGTGTGGAATACGAACTGGTCAACGGTACATGAGCATCATCTCACGAGGCTCACTTACATACCAAATACTTTAGGGCTCAAGATCTGAAGACCACGGCCATCGCGACGGGAAAGAACTGCCGACATCAAAGGTCTAGCGCAGTTGGAAGGATGTAACTCCTAGTCCTCCGGCTTCCAATACTTCCGACTTCACAACAGCAGTGGCACACCTCAATTGATGATGGCGCGATGCATCTGACACATCCAGGATCCACAATTCATTGGGTGTCAACCCCCATTATCTGAAACGTCTCTTATGCAGTCTTGAAACGGCTTTCCCCATGTCAGATGCAATCCGACATGTGCAAAGTTCGGTCTCAATAAGCAGGACGGCCACCAGGTATCTAGATACTCTATGCTAGATAGGCGAAGACACAGTCTATGACCGACACTCTCCACCGGGTTCTCCCCGCGTGCAGCTCGGCTGTTGAACGTATCTGGCTAGTGCTGAGCGCAAGTCAATCGGGCCCGCGTTGCTCCGGCCTGGCTGTGGTAACAATCTAGATATCTATACAGGGTCCAACAAGCGAGCTCTTACAACTCTTCGGCAGGAACATCCTCGGCTTCACTGCCGAGCTCTTCCGCCACAAGATCGCGAGCATCATCCTCACCATCCTCATCCTCATCCTCATCCTCATCCTGGTCCTCGTCGTCGTCCTCGTCGTCTTCCTCGCTGCTGCTGCTGCCGCTTCCATCGTCACTGCTGCTGCCAGGGTCATAGTCCTCCTCATCCTCATCCTCTTGATCTTCAAGCTCACGTTGAGCCTTTTGCAATTCACTCTCTTCTTCTTCTGCTTCAGCAACCCCTTCTGCATTGGTAGTGGCATCATCTCCGGTCTTGGCACCGTTGACATTGTATCGTTTCGCACGACGGGCTTCTGCGAGACTAGCATCTTGCAGGCCGTGCTTTTTGATGTAGGTGTCAATTGCAGAAAAATTCGCCTGGTCGATCATGGAGAACTCAAGCTCATGGGTCTCGTCGCTGCCAGACGGACGGGCTAGGATGTTGAGATTGAATGTTCGCTGCAGGACAGATGTGTAGGAGATCGATTCAATGTTTTCGAAGGCGAAAAATATCAACGGCTTCTTGAAGCCGAACAGGATCCCGGTAGAAAGAAGGAAAAGATACCCTACAGTGAATCGCCGTTAGTCAAAAGAACAAGCCATACCACTGCAGTAGGGTGTTTGATATACCATCTTTGCTCCCGCGATGGGCCTTGACATGGAAAGCCTTCTCTCCCTTCCGATGAGCTTCCGGAATTGCGCTCACAAATTGCCGCTCATCAGGGCGGATCACCTTGGTCCGCACCAGATTGGCGTTCAAGACCTGTTGAACCACCTTCTCCGCGCTCTCGCCCTCGGTTGTCCCCAGCTGCTGGCCGGTTCCCGAAAACGCTGCTTTGGGTGGCCCATCGGCCACCGTCCACACAATACACTCAGAAGCAGCGACACCTTCCGGAGGAGTGTTGATGCCATCACTATATCGGGGGATAATGCAGAAATTGAATTGTCGCTGGTTCTTTTCCGGGACTGGAAGACAGAGAACGTGCTCTAGTGGCGACACGAGCACACATTAGCAAACGCGACTGATCTTGTGTGTGAGAAGGCAACTCACGGATCTTATCCAACTCGACCCCGAACTCCACCTCTTTCGACGTCTGATTTCTTGCGCGGAGGAATCCACCTCCGGCAGTGATCTCCAGTGTAAGCTTCTTCCGCTGCGGCACAGCGAAGGAAACATCCTGCATGTAGAATTGTAGTGGTGCGTCGGCTTTCAAGTCGCCCGGGAACTGTTGCGCAGCGGCAGCTGTATAACCATCCCCACCATTTTGGGTCTTGCGTTTCTTTGCCGCTGGGCCGTCGTCGCTGACGGCCTCGATGGGCTGAACGCGAGCGTTGACGACAGACCTGGCCAGCAGGCTGGATGTATATCTGGCAACGTCTTCGAATAGCGGCGCATACTGCGGGGTTTGTTCTGTTCAGAGGAGGGATAAAGTCAACAAGCGGTGATTTGATGATTCTGTTCTTTCGAGTCTTGGGCGTCATCATCTGGAGCCATTGCGAGCGTTGATGTGGGGGTTGGAGGTGGCGAGAGGGATAGTGAATGGTTCTTGCAGTGACCGACAGTCTTCACGTACCGATCGCATCGTAAACACGTTTTCTAAGGGCAGGTTCGGCAGCAAAGGCATCATCAATAACGGAGCTCCTCGGTGGAGGAGCTGAAGATGAGGAGTTTATCGTGGCAAATGCCATGATGAGGAGGATGATCAATGAATCGATCAATGGATAATGGATAAATACAATGTAACAAGCTAGATGGGGATGATCCGGTAATGGATAATATATGATTTTAATCAGGACAAGGAGGATATTGCACGAAGCGGGCAAACTGAGAATTTGCGATGCGCTTTGAATAGCAAGGTAGGTGGAGGTGGAGGTCAGTAGTTTCTGGTTAAGTAAGATGGAAGAAAGAAAAGGACTGCACTCCCACCTACCTGACTCCCTGGCGGCTTGGTCGATCGGGTGCGCGCACCAAATGCAATCGGAAAATAAGTCGACCTGCAATCAAGAGTACCTACTAGTCTCTGCTGGACGTCCTATTATTGGTGCAATGGTTGTCTCAGGTCATTATCATGTTGATGCAGTCGAGAGTTCTTTAGTTCAACTTCCTTCACGACTCTTGGTTGTTAATGGTCTTAATACAAGTCATATTCTATGCTACAAACAGCACTAAATGTACACCCATCCTGGAATCCAGAAATAACGTCGCGAAAAAAGGGGGGAAAGGGACCACCATGAGGCTGCAATTGCTCTCATCAGTGGCCAATGGCCAGTTTATTACCACCAGGTGCTTAGGCGTTCGTCGTGGCCGCCTGCTTCTTCTCCAAGAAAGCCTCGATGAATCCTCTTGTCATCTTATCCATCTTGTAATTCGGACGGGCCTTTTGCGGAGGTCTGTAGGTCTTTGGCGCGTTATTCGCCTGATGTAGGTGAGCCAAGGGGGTCCACAAAGTTTGACTTTGAAGATATTCCCGCTTGTAGTCTTCCATCAACTTCTTCTCCACCCATTCAGGATCGTGCCTAGTTCGGTATTTCGAGTAGGGGTTGCGAAGCTCATCGATGACCGATGCGGGGAAAGGTGCGAACTGAAGCGATGGCAGCCAAGTTGGCGTCTCAACTTCCATACGGAGGGTATCCCACTCTTCGTCCTTCGGCGCTGGGGGCTCGACCTTAGGCCAGGGGATCTCAATGTCTTCACCAGCAATATATCTGGTGTGTTTGGGGGTCTCAACTCCGTAGCCACGTTCGAGGATGGGCCCTCCGCCATAAACATGCTCCACCAGTACATCTCGCGTTTGGCCGGTAACTGGGTCATCGAGAGCGACCACGAGGCGAACATCGTCCAAGGACAAGGGAATGCTGACAGACTGGAAGGGGGATTTTTCCCCGTACTGGTCGGTCATCCACTCGGGAAAGTAGATATCGGCCTGTTTTGAGATTTGACAGCAGTCAGTCGAGTGAGACGATCCGAGATCTAGCAGGAACAAACAGTACCATGTTGAGGTCCTTCACCAACACCGTCTCGTTGCTGGCATCCACCTTCACGACCTCGTTGATCTTGCCCTTATCCTTACCCTTCATCACACACACCCGATCTCCCGCCGCGATGTTAATGTATTTCCTCCGGAGATGCTTGGGGACGGTCGGAGGGTTCAGTGCTTGCGGCGTCAGGGCACCGAACTTGCTTCCCGAGAGAGCGGCATCACGCTGGGGGGCTAGAGGTCCACGCATCCAGTCTTCACGGCGACGTAGCCTTTCCTCGCGGAGGTTGTCCAGCTCCATGCGCTTGTAGGCGAAACGCTGGCGGAGAGTGTCCTTGTATTCTTCGCGTTCGGCGACTTTGGCCGCCCGGATAGCCTTACGCGTGGCCTGGTTCCGGGCCTGCGCCGTTCTCTGAATGACTTTCTGCATGGTGATCTGTTTGCGATGCCAACAATGGCCGTCCTTTCCCACGGAATCGCGGCCAGATTGAATGTCGGGGAAGGGAAAATTGCGGCCCTGTTGCAGTCACGTGCCTACCCGTGGACCACCACCAATCAGATTCGATACCTTCATTTCAGTCGGGATTGGTCTGGGCAGTCCGGACTACTACCTTACTACTGGTACCAGCAACTTAGGTACAGCATTAGTTGGTAGGTACTACTAAGTGCAGCTATACTCATGTGAGTACCTCATGTAGAGCTACCATTTAATAAATAAAGATAAGTGGTTACATCAGAAATTGCCAACTCATAGACTGATCTTTCATAGATGTTTTCAAGCTATGGTGATTGGGGTTTTTGAAGTCAAGAAGCTACTAGTAGGCATGTCAATCATGTGTACTTCCGAGCTGATGGAGAGAGAGTGCCATACTATAGGTATCAATATTTAACCTCAAGGTGGGAAGGTAGGTAGTTCAAGCACTATTTAGATGCGCGACTGGCGTGGGATAGACATGATACTACATCTGACCTCAAAGGGTTTTCACCTCAATCCAATATATGCCCACTTTCCAAATGTGAGTGGATCATGGTAGCAATGGATCTGACCTGACATATTAGAGAGTCGACTGCAGATCCTACTAAGCTAACAACATAGAATATCAGTTCAAATAAGCAATCGTCCCTAGCGACAGCATGGAGGAAGATTAGACAAGATCAGTTCCTTAAGAGTAGTTGTCCCTCGACGGCCAAGTCATACAGTGTATACGAATAGCGTAATCGTCACAGGTTCAAGGCAGATAGATGTGAGGGAGGTCGAGGAAAGTACTATTGTCTCATTCGCCATTCATCTGACAGGTGATACCTACATAGTAACTACAAGTCGCATGGCGTGTTATGGCTCGATCGTCAGGCTTGTCCGTGCAAACCACGCTTAAAAGTGGCAACCGTAGGAAGAAAAGGTCGACAACACATCAGACCCCCACAAATTGCGAGCTTTGCTTACCATAGAGGTTGTCAGATATAGGTCCGATCATCATCCCCAACAGTGATCTAGCCTCTTTTCTTCCCCAGCTACAGCTATGATCGATGTATAGAGTTCGCGGCGGTCGCCTCCGCCTCAACCAAACGTCAAGGTCTAAGCAGCTTCACCGAATGTTAGGTAGGCAGTCAAGTCAGTAAGCACGGGGCGGTCCAATCAACAAGCACTCAGCTTAGAACTGGCACAGCATTAGCGCAACAGCCCTGGGATTCTGATTGGAAACGAGCCACTCGGTGACGATCTGAACAGAGAATACGATCACAGTGTGGATATGTACGATTGGTACTCCGTACAACGAGTACCTACTGCAAGGCTACTGCTGCCAGGTTGTCTGTGGCTGAGGGTTGGCAAGGCTATACCCGGATATTATAACCTCGTAGTCGACGCTTGTAATGTACTGTATGTTTGCATGGATTTGCAGTAAATTACTGTATGTACAGTTAGTATTCTCTCCACTTACAACGTCAACAATGCGGATTGAGTCGACCGCCATAACCATGGGAGGATGCCTGCAGTGCGTTGGTTCATACTGAAAGCTGCATAGGGCTAAAGAGCACGTCACAAAAATGAGGATATGCTTCACGGGGTCGACCGCACTTACTAGGGTGGTTTTCCGGTCCCATCTGATGACGTTGACTAGGGAGGAGAGTACGTACTGTAGCAGCATGATAAGGGGGCATTGAAGATCACTTGCACCGCCACGTATTTCTGGCTCAGGAATCGGTCAATGGGAGCGGAAAACGAATCTGCGGCCAGGGTATTCGATTTTCGGTAATTCATACTGAGCAGGTAAAGATGCATACACTCCCCCTGCCTCTCAGGTGAGAACACACACGTCATCTATACTTGTTGGACGGTTAGAAGAAATTCGGTGATCGCTGCTGAAAGCCGCCAGAGTCCCTTCTTGACAAAAAAGCTCATGCCAATCACCCTCCTGGTGCATCCTAAGGGTTGATTAGACTGGGCGTTATGCAGAAAAGGCTGTCTAGCTGTGCTCGAGCTTGGACACCAGCTATCTAGGGCAATCGGTGATTTCCGCTTGGAGTATGGAGCTACAGAGCCCGGCCAACAAGCATGGCCCATCATACAGCGCTGATGGATGAATGGAAGCCCGAGGACCCTACCCGCCAGTGTGCCGACTGGCGTCTAGGCCTCTCTGCAGATAGGACAGCGACGGTAACTAAACATGGATATTGTGAAAGTTGCACCGAATGATGGAAGCTTCCTTGAAATCATCTCTCCCGGGTCTCGAACTACCTCTTAATAACTATGCCCTGATCTAGAGACTTACTTCTCAATCTACATACATATAGCCTCCAAGAGACTCGAACAGGCGATTGATAGTTAGCGAAGATGACGACATGCAACTTAACTAGTTATACTCAGTAGCCGGAGCGAAACGGGAGGGATGGATTCCTAGGTAAGATTAAGCCATAGAAAGAAAGGACCAGCTAATAAAAGCAGAAAATAATCTTTATTGGCCCTGGATTGGTCGACAATAATAACTACTAGGTACCTGGTACTTACCGACTAAAAGTATAACTTACATAGTCCTGACCGACCACAGACAGGAATTTTACCAGTTTGATTGAGTTGAATCCGGTCTCAAATCATACCATACCATACCGGAGTGTCAATTGTAAGTTATTGGCTCCTGGCTCCCGTCTTCAGCCACGGTGGCTTTTAATGGGAATGAAGGCAGCAGCTTAGGCAGCTAAGTAAGCAGAAATGACCGGACAACATAACTACCTTAGTTAAACAAGTTTAGTGGACGCGAAAAAAAGGCGACTAGATCAAGGAAGGTCGGGGATCTTGGAAAAGGAGTAAAGTATTTAGGAGGTAGCCTATGGACCATATTCTTCCATCAATTCTCAGGTAGTGTGGCTCTTCTCCATAGACAGCCAGCTTCCCTAGTAGCACGGAAAGGTCAAAAACTCATCAGGAAAAATAACAAAAAAGGTATTGTTGACAAAAGAGGTTGCAGTCGTCGGAACGAATAATCAGAAGTTTGCAGTTGGTTACAATGTTAGTGATGATAAGAGAAGCAGGAGGAAGAAGATGATAACAATGAAGGAAAGGCAACAAATAGAGAAGGGGGGAAAGGGAAAGTATAAACAGTCTTGTCACAGCCACATTCATAGCATCTTAACCACTGGATGGGCGGAAGGATTGTTTCAGCTTGTTTTAGTATGGAATATTTAGATGGTTAGACAGGGGGGGAAGCCTCAGGGAATAGACCTGAAAGAGCCAGGAGGAATATACAGGAGATGAATAGGTAGAGTGCCAACCCGCCGATGGACGACCACCGATGGACGACCATAACTGGTCCATAACAAATGTAGCAACAAGCAATGGACAGGCAGCAGCAGCAGTGGTGGTGGTGGTGGTGATTGTAGGAGTATTCCAGGAGGAGTATAAGCAGGAGGAGCATTTGCTTACACGCACTCACCACGACCACCACGACCACTACCACTACCACTACCACCACCACCACCACCACCAGCAACAGCACTCACTCACTGTCATTCATCCTCTTGACTATCAACCTATCCATTCTTTCTTCCGCTTCCCTCCTCTTTCTCTTCTTTCATCATCCCTCCAACGTGATAACCTCCCTTTTCTCAAGGGACTCTTCTACTGCCGTGATTCCTCTACTAAACTCATCTTCTGGGTTTATTTTTTCAATTCTAGACTCTTTTGTTTCCTCTACAGCCCTTCCCCCCACCCCCTTCTCTCCCTCCCATATTTTAATCCGCGCCCGTTGCGCCTACTCCCGTGCACCGTACGTGATAACCCTTTTCCTCGGGCGCCTGACTTGTCTGTCCCTTTCTCTCACTCACTCTCTCACTCACTCACTCACACACACACTCTCTCGCTCTCTCTCTCTCTACCTACAACCTCCACCTCCCTCCACCTGCTACACTTCCCCCTTCCCCTCTCTCAAACCACATTCCATCCATCAACTGCTTACCTCTCTTTTCCTTTCCTCTTCTCCACTACACATACCTTTTTCTTTCGTTGTCGCATATCGCTAAATCAACCTATTTTTTGCTCTTCCGTTTGCTGATCTTCACCTCTCAATAAAGATGGCTGAGATTCGCCGCAAGCTTGTCATCGTTGGTGATGGTGCCTGTGGTAAGACTTGTCTGTTGATGTAAGTTCCTCATCTTTGGTCCCCCACCCCCCTACCCCCGTCCAAGGGGCCAAATGGCACATACTGACTCTACATCTCTTCTCCTTTTAGTGTCTTCTCCAAGGGCACTTTCCCCGAGGTTAGCCTTCGTCTCCTATCCTTGCCTGGGGTTTTACGCTGTTGTCTCCTGTCCTATCCACGCTCAATGCGAAATCACCATGCAACTGCTCATCCAGCCTTTCGTTCCTATCGGACTGACTGAAATCGCTGCCTTAGGTCTATGTCCCCACTGTCTTCGAGAACTATGTTGCCGATGTTGAGGTCGATGGCAAGCACGTTGAGCTTGCTCTTTGGGATACTGCTGGTCAGGAAGATTACGATCGTCTTCGCCCTCTCTCATACCCCGACTCTCACGTTATCCTGATTTGCTTTGCTGTCGACTCCCCTGACTCGTTGGACAACGTTCAGGAGAAGGTGAGCGGTTCCACCATTTTCGACCTTGAGAATGAAGCCTGCGCATGTCCAGGTTATCTTGGATCAACATGCTGATAAATCTGCAGTGGATCTCCGAGGTTCTGCACTTTTGCCAGGGTCTCCCTATCATTCTCGTCGGCTGCAAGATGGATCTCCGTCACGACCCCAAGACCATTGAAGAACTCCACAAGACCTCTCAGAAGCCGGTTACCCCTGAGCAGGTAAGTGCATTTGGCGCGCTAACCAGCTGACTTTGGATTGGTCGCTGACTTTTTCCCAGGGTGAGGAGGTTCGCAAGAAGATTGGTGCCTACAAGTACCTCGAGTGCTCTGCCCGTACCAACGAGGGCGTTCGTGAGGTCTTTGAGGCGGCTACCCGGGCTGCGCTCCTGACCAAGGCCCACAAGAGCAAGAAGAAGTGCACCATCCTGTAAACTAGTTGTTTCCTTCGCAAAAGGTCTGTTTCGTGCGGAGATTATATGAACGGATAAGCGTCTCGAATATTTGGTTTCTATCGTTTTACTCCGAAGGGGTCCTCCGTTGGCGTGTTCCAATCTGTGCCTGGATGCGAGTGTGGATAATGTTCAATCACGGGCACACGAGCTTTATGGGATTATCTGGCTATGCAGTTGGTCGACTTTCTTGTTTTGCAGACGTTATTTTCTAGGGAGGCGTTGTCTTGTCTTCATAACCTTGTGGGTTTTCTAATGTTTTATCTTCCAGCTCCTCATAGGCGCCTCCGGGGCGGTTCGCGATCATCCACTATGACAAACTGGGCGCCGGGTTGCTGCCAGCAGAAAGAGGCCCTCGCTGCAGCGGGTTATGGAGGTTCAAAGCAGCGCAAGTCGATGCGCAGCCCTATCCTTTTCGCATGGACACTTTGCATTCGATCTCTGAGAAATGGTCTGATTGTCGAGAAAATCCGCACATTTCCATGATGGGCCAGATGTTCGTCACACTTGCCTCGCCTATCAGATCTCCCCCAGCACAGTCTCATCATCATAATCAGATTTCCCCCACTTTGCTGTGTTCTAATCTGCTGTTCTTGTTTGTTTATTTTCGGTTAAAGAGAATGCATGGAATTGTCACTGAATTTGAACCCATCCCCCCCCCCATTTTCCCTTGTTTCCCTATCTTGTCAGTCACGCGATCTTGATAACTATACATGTGTCTTTCGCGGCGGATGCCAAGCCATAAGAAAGAGAATCTCGAAGCAGAATTCATCCTTATTTCATTGTCTTCTGATCACTGCAGTACTTATCTTTGCCATGCTCTCGGTTGCATGCGCCCAAGGTTTCCTTTCCATGCGAATTAGGCTTCAACAATATCTGTTGATTGCTAGGCCATGAATTCATTGGTCAAACGAATCCAATCCACGTCGCATCATCGTGACTCAAATGATGAGCACATTTGGCTATCATCGTACCTTGCAGGGTAGTGAGTATGCGACCCTGTCTCGATAAGAGTAAGTTCATGAGTGATGTAGCACATATTGGGACTTTTCCTATTCCCTCCTGCCGAGTGGGGACATCTTAGTGGACCCTGCGGCTTGTATGTATCTCCTGAACGAAGGTCAATGGGCGGATGACGAGGTGGAGGGGAGGGATGCTGATCGTGACACTGGTACGGGATCCACCGTCGATAAGATGGTCTTGGGAATCGCAGCTGTGGCCAAGCTTAGTTCATGTGCTGAGTTACCGAGGAGCATTTCTGCCTGAAGCTATTTATGAAATTTTAGTTGCCTGTCTGGTGCTGTGGTGATGGTTCTCTAAATAAATAAAGACCACCAAGGTTGGAGGCCCGCGGCGTGAGAGACGACTTATTTAGCTTATTTAGCACATTTTTGTGGAGATGTATACGTAGTGGATTTGCTGGAGGTAGGCCTACGTAAGAGCAAACCCCCTCCCTCCCTCCCCTCGGTGTTCATGGCCAGATCTACCTATTCAAACTCAATAGATTTCCAATATACCGTCTGGCATCGAGGCCCAGTCCCTCGACGAGTTTCGCTGGCCCTGTATCGGTCCTTGCCGCCTGCAGACTTGGTGATGAGGCGCCTCCGAGATCCCGAAAGAATCTGGAGCCGCTACCGCTGCGGACATGTCCTGATGAAGAAACATGATCGCTTGATCGCCGAATAAGGAAAGCCTCCTGCTGCGTGGCACCTCCACCAGCTCCACCATCACCACCAGTGTTAGTACTACCGATGTTGGTTTCGGCCGGTGTGCTCGTGCTCGTCCCGGTAACAGAGGCATCTTCTTGTCCCGGTGGAGATAGGGGACTACTGTCAGACATCCGCATCCAAACAATCCACCAGCCGCGACTGGTCTTGCAGGTTCTTTCGACCTCCAGGGGCCGAGAGCGCGTTTCCGTGTATGTGCTTAGAAGTCGGTGGTGGATGTTGAGGCTCTCAACCCGCGTCCAGGGCGGGAGCATCGTGCGATGAGGTTCGGTGGTGCTCGGAGCTCCCAATTCCGGGATGTTGGGGATGGAGGAGCGGATGGTTAAGTTGGTAGGATCGTACACGAGATTGTATACCGGTTGGCTTGGGGTTGTGAATCGGTTGTTCACCTCGAACGCGCTGTCGGATACGGCGATTCGCTTCGCGGCAGTAGCTGGGGACGTGGAGTTGCACAGCGGTTTGTGGAGGATGCTCATTTGGCTGCGAAGGTCGTGGTAGAAGGATGGCTGGGATAGAGAGGGGGTTGAAGGATCGTAGAGGAACGTGTATATGAATGGTTGGTGCTACAGAATTGTCAGTGTACCAAGCGGGGAGGTATGAGTATAATGCACGACATACTACGAAGACAATTGTTCGCAACTTCACCGAGCCTAGTATGCCTGTAATCAGCCACCGGGTAATTCCGCTTTGCTCGCAGAACAAAAGTGCTTACCAGTTGGAGTTTCGTCTAGAGGAATAGCCTCTTCGAAGGGGACTGTCAGTCGGACGTGCAATGTTCTTTGGTCAATTACATGACTCGAATCCGCAGTAAGCGTGTTCAATGGTTCATTGTCTCCCTGAAGTCTGTCCGTGGTGTTGGTGCTTGATGTATTGTGGAACCCAATGAGGAATCGACCAGAGTTCTTCGGCTTATTCTGATCCTCGATATCGGCAGTATCCCCCTTAGTTGATTCTTCGGAGTTGGTAGAAGGTTTCACTTGGTGATTCGGGCTTGTGGAGTCGTCCTCTCGCCTCAATGCTTCGATGCGAGGATGCGGGCTCCCTGTCCTAGATGATGGGCCCCAAGACGAGCCATACCCGAGAGTGAGATATTTCATTAGTGTGTCCGAGCCGGGCATCGTCCAGTCATTTGCCCGGTCACTCCGCACTGACGAGCTCCCACTGCTGCTGGTGATAGAGCTTGTTTTCGCACCGGACTCTGCTGGCGGCTGTGAAACGTCTGAAGTCCCTACCACGAGCGGACGAGGTATGCCGGGAGAAAAGGAACGATCTAAAGTTGCATGATCAACAGGTTTGACAACAGATCCAGCTTGACGGTCAGTCTCGTTCCCAACCGGAAGCCTTCCCCGATGCTTCTTTCGTCTTTTCCGCCGGCGAGGGCAAGCCGGGTCTTCGCTCACTGCATACGCGTCAACGCCATATCTATAAATCCATTCCACCCACTGAGAGACTCTCACGACTGAGGGTCTTGAGAGAGCGCCAACCCCAGAGAATATGACTCCATCCGAAGGTTTGGGGGAAACGTCCGCACCAAGCCAGGAATCTGCATTATCACTCTTGCTCTTGAAGGTTGACCCTCTGTTTTCCGAGACAGACTCCTTCGATGATGTAGAAGAGTCTCCAAATCGCGAGACGATCATATCTACGAGTCCATCCGTCCTAGAAACAAAGTCCTCCAAGACCTCTCTCTCCCCGCTGCCCCATTCTTCCTCGCCAACGCCAACCCCAAGCTCACCTCCAGCAGAGAGCTTGATACCATCATACATATCGACCACTGGACTCCCACTTAGAAGCATTTCCCAGATCCAGGCGAATCGCCACCAGAAGCTGTCGAGGAGCGTACAGAATTTGGACCTGCCAACATGATCGTAGAGGGCGTCGAGCGTAAACTGGTGGTGTAAAAGAAAGATGGAGTGTGCCCGGCGCATTTGTTGTATCAAGAGCTGTGGGGGGCACATCTCCCTTGAAGAGTATGTGAATCTAGGTGTGGCTGAACCATCGTTTTGGGAGATAGTAGCCGGATCAATTGGCAGTCGAGTCAGCTCAACAGACTAGAGAGATCTCAGCAGCTATCTATGACACATGGCGACACAGGCCACCCACTGCTAAGATCCACCAATCCTGCTCAAGCTCGTGCAAGATAACCTGCGACTTCTCTGTTTCCACATACTCTACGGCCTTGCCCTCTGAGAAGTTCCTGGTATTCCAGATCAGCCCGTGAACCTATCACTAACCCTCGACAGCGGTTTCACCCACCTGGCAAAGCCTACTATTCCCTGGGCCAATCCTATCTGTCGCAACTTATCGTTCAAATCGCCATTAGGTTCGCTATTGACACCCTCTTCAGGGACTGGGCTATCGCGCTGCGCTGAACGATCTGACCTAGATGTATAGAAAACGATTTGATCCTGTATTGTTTCGTCTGTCGGTCCGAGGCGGGGGTTGTAGATGGTGAGGAAGGAGAGTTGCGCAGGAATTACCGATGCAGAGGCATTATCAGGCATTGCGCCATCGACATGTGAGCTCTGTATCAATAAGTACTGAGCAGCAGCGTCGTTGCGGAGCAAGAGATAATCATGGATTGTTTGTTGCTGGTTGATCTCGCTCCTTGGGGGGAGTAGGAAGGCGGTGACATCACGTGGCGGCGTTCGGCGATTCTCCCGAAGCTACAGCAACGAGATAGTAAATAATACACAGTAGATTGTTCAGGCACCATACCATTGCAGTGGGGAGCTTCAAATGCAATGCTGCTTTTCCGGGGCCCAGAGATCCTCTGCGGATTCAGACCCACCCTCTATGCTTTACCTTCTGCGAATCGATACTTGGCGACCAAAGCCTACGATCCTCTCCGCATACTCTTCTGCGGCTCCGATGAATTCAGTATTGCTTCCTTGAAAGCGCTCCATGCAGAACATCTCTCTCGACCGGACCGGATCGCGTCCATTGATGTCGTTTGTAGACCCGGTAAAAGGGTCGGGCGAGGGTTGAAGAAGATACAGGAAGGTATGTTTGCGCATGAGAAACAATTTGGGATACTTCCGGCTGACATGCTTGTGGATCGCAACAGTCCCTATCAAAGCAGCCGCAACAGACTTATCGCTTCCTATCCATGAAATTGACACTTTCCGGGGCTGGACGGTAATCTTCAAAACTCTTAATAGCTACGGAGCATGTCTGCTAACCCTCTTAGCCTCCTGTCCTGCCGGAAGGGCCCATCAATTTGATCGTCGCTGTCTCGTTCGGGCTATTTGTGCCTCCCCGAATTATCAATGGTGCTAAATATGGGGGTCTCAATGTGCACCCCTCTTTACTCCCCGAGTACACATCTCCGAAGATCGTAATCAGTAAATCCAGCCTTGCTAACGAGAACGTCCAGCTTCCGCGGTCCCGCACCGCTACACCACACACTCCTGAACAATAGAACCAGAACTGGCGTCACATTGCAAACTCTACATCTGAAGCACTTCGACCACGGTACTATTCTAGCGCAGACGCCGCTCCCAGGATTTGACATACCGAACCCAGATTCCTGCACGGTCCAGGAACTGCTAGATGTAGTTGCCCCCAAGGGCGCGGAAATTCTCGTTGAAGGCATTAAAAAGGGACTTTTCGTCCCCCCTTTGCAAGATGTAGGCTGGCGCCCGTCAGCGGACGATGGTACTCTGATTCATGCTGCAAAGATCATGCCAGAAGACCGACATATCGACTGGACCAAGTGGACCTTGCATGATATCCAGAGAAGACATCATGTGCTGGGTCCGCTTTGGAGCAAATCCCTAGTTGCCAGCGGCACATATGGTGGGAAGCCCAACTTCCAACATCTTCGCGTCATATTCTCTGAGTTTGAAGAAGTACCTTTACTAAAAGGCTGCGATCAATTCTCGGTCGTACCCGGCCTACCGTTCATAGACGGCGCCCTTCCAATCAAATTGGATGAAGGAAACGGCGTTTATGTGTTCACTCGGGACCACAAGCTCGTCAGGATTCATCAAATGAAGGTCGAAGGTGGGTTGACTACAGACGCTCTCCGAGCCGCTCGCAAGGCTCGTATGATTGGCGAACGAACGTTCTACTCGGGCGACATCGGATATACACCATTCTACAATCCTCTACATTGAACGCAATGAGATGAAAACAAAATGCCTATCGTTTCATTGACGTCGCGATACCATCGCTAAATACCCTTCATACCAGCCAATCCAGGCCTTCGTACGCCGAGCATTGCAGATAATCCTCCTCCACGGTTTCACACTACAAGTCGCAAATCCGGCAACTGTAGAATCAGTCCTAAAGGAAATGCCATCGACCGGAGCACTTATTGACCTGAATTGCTTGGCCGGTCACAGACATGCCTTGTGCGAACATGACATATGGATTGGCAGTGTCGTCCAGGTCATTCTAGCAGCAGTTTTATGAGCAGCAGGGATGCATGGTACATGGAAAACTGTACCGTTCTTCTCAGCGCGTCTTTCTCCTTATATCCATCAATATTTTGGCCGCACACTGCACATACCTTTGGCTGATGACCGCTTTTGTATTGCGAGTTACTGCTCTCGAACCATTGTCACGAGCCCTTCAGCTGCGTCTCTGCTCAGGAAAAAATTAATAGCAACGTTGCAGCCCTCCGCGGCACACTTTTAGGTTACAAGAGCGCCTGTGCCCTAATCTCTGTTTGAGAGTTACTGTAAAAGAAGTGCCACTTCTTGGAATACACATACCTGGACCCGGCAGTAATCGGGTCTTTGCGACTGTGCAGGGAATGTATGATGTTCTGGTGGGATTGTAGTGGGTATACGGAATATGTAACATTACAACACGAGGTAAGGTTTGGAGTGAGAATTTGAGCTCGACAAGAGAACAGCAAGCTGAATAGCATAGCCAACCGTGTGGAGGAGTTTCCGCCCAAGTGTCAAACTTGCGTGAGAAAAATATAGTGCCATACGATCTACCTTACTCCGCTGAAGGGCTCTCAGTTCGCACCGCTCACATTCCGATCTTCAGAACCATCGATACCAGGTGCATATGGTTAATCCATCTATGGTCTAGTACTGTAGTAGTTGGCCCTTGGTCGATCTCGGTCGATAATATGTGTTGCCTGTCAATCCACCAGCGTGCCGGCATATTCAGTCTGCCGCATGCCTTTCCACGCTCTCTTGCCCGCTAGATCTGGCCACTGAACGAGGAAGCGATCCGCAAAAGGCAGCAGGAGTTTACCTGACAGGCTTAGAGTGGTGACTCGGGCCCATGATTCTACGAAGATTGTGCGAAGTCGGAAATCATTCGACATGGTGGCTGACCTAGATCCAAGCAAGAATATAGTACTAAGGGCAAGCCATAGCCGGAGCAGCCTAGCCGCCAGAATAATGCAGACTGCTGTGGCCGGCCCATTGGTGAGGATGATGTCTGGATGCGGTGAGTGCATCGACTCCGAACGAAGTGGTCCCTGGTCTGGATGTAAGCCGCGTAGCACCAGAAGACAAGACCAGAAGGAACTGAGAGTGGAGAAGGGTGCAGTCAGGTAGGATTGGTGTACGCGACGGGCGCGCGGAACTATGACGATAGAGTATGATCCCGTTGTTGGAGGGGGCCGCTCGGATACCGCAGGGTCCTCCTTCTGGTTTAAATATGTTGTTTCGAAGTCGACGGCCTTCTTCGCGCTGAAGTTGTCGCCGGAGCTCACGACGTAGGTTCGGTAGGTGTACTTGGTTGGATCGAGTTCCATGCGCCGGAGCATGGAGAACATTTCCGCCGTGTGTCCGCCACTTCCCAGGACCACCAAGAGATGAATCGGTCTATTTCTCGGGCGCCACTTTGGCACTTTGGTGTTGTGCGACTGGATCAAGGCGTAGAGAAGGAGCTATAAGAGTCGACCTCGAGTTAGTCATCGGCTATGGTAAGGACGGCGAGGTGCAGCATGGCACTGACGAGGGCTGCAAATATACAGAGTGTACCTGTCAGGGCTAAGACCCAGAGCAGCATTGCCCAAGTTAGAACCGAAGACATCATGCGAATTGGCGATCGGTGATTGAATTGAGCGAAGGGAAATAACAGGCTGGCTTTCTAGTTTGCTGCGGACGGTGCGCGGGGATGCGATTCGGAGGTGTGATCGCGAACAAGGAACCTCAAGAATCCTCCGAAGCTATGTTGTGCACACCTCAGAAGCTTATCAGATCCCACCTTGCTTGCATTTTGTAGCCCAGAGAGCAATGGCGACAAGGAGAGCAGGTGAGGTATTCATGATTGTTGCCAGTTTGGCGGCGGCCTCGAAACGACCTAAACAAGCACGTGGTCCGTGCCGCGGTCGGCGATTATTTTGCTGCTGTTGTCTTAACTCCTTCTCTCGCGTCCCCTTCGCCCCATTATCATTTCCCTCTATCATCACCACGACTACCGTTGTCATTAACCCTTTCTAAACATATCTCCCCCGCCATAAATGTTCACCTGCTTGACAGGAGATGGCTCCTTTCTTCGCAAAGCGATTGAAGTGTTTTTATTGTGGGTGTCGCTCACCCCAGGCTGACAGAGAGCCCATTCGCAAATGGCGTTGCCAACATTGCGAGGCTATCAATTATTTGGATGAAGTAGGTCACTTGTAGCTTCACGGTGTGCTCATATGCCATCACAGCAGAGCTTAATATAGCTAACTCCCTTCAGAACGGGGAAATCACCGATCCCCCTGCTACTGAAACGAATCCCGCTGTACACAGCCCTCACGCATCAACTCCGCCCTTCGAGTCCAATGACTTCACAGGCTCCAGTTTATTCTGCGAAAAATGCCTCCGCAACCAACACCTCTTCACTAACAACTTGGCATCCTACTTCCCGCCTTCCGATGACCCGAGTTTCGGCGCATACGAACGCGAGTATCCTAAATTTCGCAAAAACCTAGAGGAGCGGTATCCCCAGGTTTGCGCCACTTGCGAGCCTCGAGTGAAACAGCGCATTCGTCAAACCGGATACGAGGCCAAAGCGGATCATTTGAGACGGATGATGGACCGAAGTAAGGCTGGGAGGATGGCAAGAAAGGCACGTCGGTGGAACTGGAGAAGCCTTCTTGTCTGGGCCGGCGCCATGGGTTACTGGGCTAGTGTTGCCGGTCAACTTAGCTGGAATATCTGGAGTGCGTTAGCCGTGGAGGAAATTGAACCACTGCAAGACCCCGATGCCTTATCTAACTCTCCTCATTTGGTCGAGTGCGCACGCGAGATAGTGCAGACCCGTCGGATACCGAGCAGTTGCGCGATGGATCTAGCACCTTATGCCGGGCTAGCTCTCATTGTCGGCATTCTGTCTTTGTGGTGGAACCCCAAGCTACGCTTAAAAGTAGAAGGAAGGGGCGGACGCTTTGTTGGCCTGAGCGAGTACTATCAGGTACAGCTCATTGTCATGGTGGTGCGATGCGTCTTCTGGGCGGTTCTCCGAGAACCCTCTTCGAGCGGACTGGAGGCTAATATTCCCCCGACTTTACACTTGTTCATGCTATTCTTAACGACATTGGTACGTAACCTAGAGAACCTAGTGTCGACCTCGCTAATGAAGGACACCTACCTCTAGTCTGTTGCGATCTCTAGGCGCATTGTGCGCTATGACACCCGTCCGCTGGTCGTCTGGAATGATGACACCCCCGCAGCCACTCCGAGTCGGAATACTGAAGCGACTCCAGTACCTAATTTTGGTAACAACACTGGAATCAGTCGCCGGCTGTTTACAAGTCCTACTGGAGATCTCCGGCAGCGACCTTCTCGTTTCCCTTTGGACAAGCTTGCTTCTCCACGGACAGCTCCTGAGGAACCAAGCATCCCAACCCCGCCTCCGGAGGCTGACGATATGGACTGGGCTCCTTCCCTTGTCCAGCGCGAACTTGAACCCACAATTAGTGTCCGTCGGCGAGACAAGACCTCTGGGCTCAATGGCGAGCTGCCGTCTTTTGGCCTCCTGCCCGCTGCGCCTAAGCCACCCGCGTGGAATATGCGTAGCAAACCCCAATACCCAAATCCCATTAACCCCATTAACCCCACTCAACAAGTGGAACAAAATCCGTTCCAGCGCACACCTGCACAACCGCAACAATGGCAACGGAATACCAGTGATGCCGGCGCGGCGTTTGTACCGCCAAAGTTCTTTCCTACGAGCGATCATACCGCGACAACTGGACTCGAGAGTTTGTTCGATCGGACCTTCACCATCAAGTCTCCTGAAGATGGAGAAGACAACTACTGGCAAGCACACCAAAACTCGAATGATTACACCCACCACCCTGTGAATCTCTGGAGTTATTTTGTCTACCAGTACCTTCGGTTAGGACTTCTTATTGTTTCTCTTGCTGCTTGGACTTTTTCGGAATATGGTCTACTCTCGCTTCCGGGCAATTATGTTGAGATCGCATCGTTAGGCAGTGCCAGTCTTATCGCCGGGTTCGCCCTTCTAGAGGCTATGAAACGTCCTATCGTGCAGTGGAATGGCATGGAGATCCTCACCTGCTTTTCCGAGCTGGTTGCTGCTGTTAATCTTGGGGGATACCTTCCCCGGATTGGGGTTGCCTACCAGCGGCAATCTTTTGACACATACGGGAAGTTGTTATTGGTTTTCATGACCGCCCAAGAGGCACTGAATCTGCTGTCACTGTATCGCCTCGCTGCAGTCCATGGGTCTGGTACCCAGCAGCAGCAACAACAACAACAACAACAACGCCGCATCGCGTCTCCGGATGGCCGTGTAACTGGACATCAGTCCCCATCGGCATTTAATCACCAGGGCCAGGTCCAGTCGTTTGACAGTCAGCCATCCATGCCACCCCTGTCCTTTTCATCTACTCTTCCTACCTCGAGCTTCACGACGCAGTCACCCGCCACGCCCACCCAATTCGCACCTTCGCCATACGACGGAGGATTTTCCAAAAATCACAGTTTCACTCTGAACAGTCTGAAAGACAACGAGTCCGACGTGTCGGACGCGTTTGACCGTGACTCGGACACTGAAACCACTGTAACAACAGCCACATCTGCCACCAACAACACAATTCGAAACATTCGCTATGGACGAAACAACGATTATAACAGTGACTCGATGTTCTCGCCCCGACGATCAGAGCTGGGTCCAGGGATCGGGGGTCTGAGTTTGGAGGACGAGCCCGGTCGCCGCATCACCCGCAGTCAATCGAAGCTCAAGGATCGTTTCGCAGCGGCGCGAGGAATACGGTGATATCAATCCTCGATCTTTGGGCGTTGGTCGGCCTCATTGGACCAGCTGTCTCAATTCAAGCGTTTGCACTTTTGGAGTTGGTTAGCTACCTCTTTCCCTTGCTAAATCTACCTTATACCACTCTTTGTGAGCCCACGCGAACTATTACGGCCGGTGAGAAAGCTTGCCTGTTCTGAGTACAATCCGTTTGTTTCACTGTACTTGGGGCTATTTGAAGATGTGTTTTGTACATAGCAAGTAGAATGAACGATTTATGAATGATGGCACGACCGATTTCTCACTATGTCAGAGTGGGTTATAATCAGACAATTCCTCCGTGTTGTCCTAAAGCACAATGTATCACTATTCCTTTGAACTTGAACCTAGTCTTATGCTGAACTTAATTTAGAAAGCACCTCGAATGTATCCCTTAAACCACAACGCCTCTTTCATGCAATCGCTAATATACCTTTGCTTTATCGTCTATCTTCTATGCATCGTTGTATCAGAAATGAAATTACCTGCATCTAGACCCACCCCAGTTTATCCGTGACAAACCTCGAGAGTTCCTGAATCGTACGAGGTTCCTCTTCGGTACCCAGATGAGTTGAGAGAATCTGTATCCATTGGGCTGGCTGAATTCCGTGGAGTTTGCGGTCCTTCAGGGCCTCTTGTAAGCGGGCTGCCTGTTCTGCAGCTATAGAGGTGTCCGAGGAGGTAGAGATGTGGCTTTCGACGATGGCGCCATGTTTGAGACGAAGAAAAACGCGAGTCTGGATAGTTTGAAGGTCAGCCAAGCTTATTGTTGACAGCCCAGCCGTACATAGGCGAGGCAGGCGCCGGAAGGGGAACTCACAGACGGCGGCAAGGAGGCCAGCAGAGGAGGCCGGTCGCGCGGATCCTCCCCTTCTATCGGATGGGTCGAGAAGATGAACCGGGGTGTCTGGCAGTATTTCCACTCGAGGGACTGGATATCTCATTAGCATGCGACACCCGAATTTCAAGAGCAAGAAAATGAACAACGCAACTCACCTTCATTTCTTCGATCCCCTTCACGATCTCCGCCTCTCCAAACCCTTGCTCCTCCCCAACAGTCCCAACCACCCAGTCCTCTCCGGCATACAATTCCGAATCTTCTACAATGTGGGCCCTCTGCGCCCGGCGCACAGCATCCGAGCATGTTCCATAGAGTCTCGCAAATTCATCCATCACTCCCGCAATGACATCCTGGATCTCGAACGAGACCGGTGCATTCCTGAAGGCCGACGACACATTCGCCACGGGCGACCGCACACTATCCACCCCCTTTGACATCATATACTCCCGCGCCGGCGAGCGCAGGAACGAGCCCAGCCGGTCGATGTTGGGAGAATCGAGCAAGCAGGTGCCGTGGTGAAGCGCGCGCTCGCGGGTGAGTTTGAAGGCGGACCCGGAGATCTTGCGCGGTTGCAGATCAAGCTGCTCCGCTTGCCGCCCGGAGTTCTCGAGTTGCATGACGATGTCGTGGCGGTCGTTGACGCTGGTGGTGGTCGCGCCGATGCGGTGAAGTGCCCGCACCAGCATCTCGGCGTGCTTGTTGCGGGTGAACGTCGCGCGCGGCGAAATCACGCTGTAGTTGAGGTTGCCTTCGTCGTGGAAGACAGCGCCTCCGCCGGAGCGGCGGCGGACGTAGAGGGGAGCCGTGGCATTTTCAATCTGGTCGGGTAAAGACGGGCTGCTGGTGGCGGCGGCGGTCCGGTCGTTGTGTAGCACGCGAAGGTTGGTTTCAAGCCATGGGTTCTGGTTGCGACCGATCACGACACAGGGGCGATTGATATATAGAAATAGGATGTTCGAGTCGGCGGGCGCATGCTGGAGGAGGAAATGTTCGATAGAGAGGTTGACGTAGGGGTCGTTGGATAGCGATTGGTATATTTGGTGTCTGGAAGCTGGTCGGCTGGCGAGCTGCGCGAAGCGATCACCTGCGAAGGAGGAATTCCACCGGATTGGTACGGGTGACGTCGTATGTTGCCATTGGGAGGATACGAGTGACGAGGGCCGGAATGAGGAGGTGCGCAAAAGGTTGCGCATCGGGCGAGATGCAGGGGGTGAGCACCACATGAGATTTATTTTATGTTGATCGATAAGGAAGACGGTGATGATGATTGATTGCTGGTGATGATCATTGGAGTTCCATGGACCGGGGGATGCAAGGCGGTGAGAGTGTATCGTACCTGTTACTTACGGTCCGGGCGGTATGAGTCTTGTATCGAGCTTCGGACGAATGGGAAAAGGCGATAGTCATGCTCTCCCGCGGGCTGCATCGAGTAAAGAAGCGGCCGATCTCCGGGGGCTATACCCGATGAAGCAAAAGGGCGGCAGAAAACCAAGGCGGGAAGCCATAGTAGAGGAAATGCCCCTCCAAAGGCTAAAGGCGATCTCGCGATCGGCCGGCCATGAATCAGTCATTCATTCTTCTTTTGTCTGTCTGCTTTCTCCCTCTTATCCACTCACTCTTCCATTCCACTCCACCGGCCACCCACCTTGTTCCAATCTTCTTTTCTTCCACTCCGGTCTCACCTTCTTTTCTTCCTTTTCCCTAGAGGCTGTCGATTCTTCTATCCGTGACCTCTTCCTCTTTCTATCTGCCCTTCCTCGGATTGAGCCTCTCAACTTGCGAAAAATCTCGACGCCGACATCGCATCACATCACATCAGCCCACCATGTCGACCTGGGGTGAATACTTCCGCGTCACCACGTAGGTCTTCTTCCTCTCAATTGCGTCACGTCATCTGTGTCCTTCGACACCGGCGTAGCAACTTACGGTTAAACTAATGGTTTTTTCCCCGCAGTTACGGTGAATCGCACTGCCGCTCTGTCGGCTGCATTGTCGATGGCTGCCCACCCGGAATGGAGCTCACTGAGGATGATATTCAGCCGCAGATGACTCGGAGGCGCCCCGGCCAGAGTGCCTTGACCACCCCTCGGAACGAGAAGGACCGCGTCGAGATCCAGTCAGGAACAGAATTCGGTGTCACTCTGGGCACTCCGATTGGCATGATGGTGCGCAACGAGGATCAGAGACCCAAGGATTACGGCGGTAGCACAATGGACCTGTACCCCCGCCCCAGCCATGCCGACTTCACCTACCTCGAAAAATATGGCGTCAAGGCCAGCAGTGGTGGTGGCCGCAGCAGTGCCCGCGAGACGATCGGTGGGTGCAACCCTCAGACCTGCCGCTGAAAAAGATGAAACATACTAAGAATATGATCAGGCCGAGTCGCTGCCGGAGCCATTGCCGAAAAGTACCTTCGCCTATCGCACGGTGTTGAGATCGTCGCCTTTGTCTCCTCCGTCGGCAACGAACACCTGTTCCCCCCTACTCCCGAGCACCCCACCGCCTCCACCCAGCCCGAGTTCCTGAACCTGATCAAGACCATCGACCGCAAGACCGTCGACTCCTTCGTACCCACCCGCTGCCCAGATGCTGATGCCGCCGCCCGCATGACCAAGGTGATCGAGCAGTTCCGCGACAACCACGACAGCATCGGTGGCACCGTTACCTGCGTGATCCGTAACGTGCCCGTCGGCTTGGGCGAGCCCTGTTTCGACAAGCTCGAGGCCAAGATCGCCCACGCGATGCTCAGCATCCCCGCCACCAAGGGCTTCGAGATCGGCTCCGGGTTCGGCGGCTGTGAGGTTCCCGGCTCGATCCACAACGACCCCTTCATTGTCTCCGACGTGGCATCCCAGCTCGGTCCCAACACCTCCACCAAGCAGCGGCTCACCACCAAGACCAACAACTCCGGCGGTATCCAGGGTGGTATCTCCAACGGCGCCGACATCTACTTCCGGGTCGCGTTCAAGCCCCCGGCCACCATTGGCCAGGCCCAAAACACTGCCACCTACGCCTTGGAGGAGGGTATTCTCGAGGCCAAGGGCCGCCACGACCCTTGCGTCACCCCCCGCGCCGTCCCCATCGTCGAGGCCATGTCCGCCTTGGTCATCATGGACGCCCTCATGGCTCAGTATGCTCGCGAGAGCGCCAAGAGCCTCCTGCCTCCCCTGCCCAACACCATCCCCACCCGTCCTACCCTGAGCGGTTCCAACTAAAAAAAAAAGCCCTTTTCTCCTCATTGTATCATGTAATCGAATCAATCATCATCCTTATGTTTTTTTTTTGTTTTTTTCTCCATATTTCCGGGAACAGGCTTGGGAAAAGTTGTTTCCTTCATTGATTTGGAATGTGGCTTCAACACTACACTCAGTGTTGCCTATATATCTTTTTTGGCCTGTTTGTTTCGAGACACCGTTCATGAAAATTAGAGTGCAGCGATATATATGATGGTATGACATTTTTGGATGAATCATTATATTATTCTTTTTCTTCTGGTATATCCAACCTCGGCCTCAGAAGAATACGGGCATGTATCTGGTTATTTACCACACATCATTGTTGCTCAACGGCATCAGCTACCACCGCGCCTTCCCTAATCGATCGAGTCCAGCCTGCGACGCCGGCTTGCCCCGATTGGATGTTCCGTTGACTCCGGTGATCCTGGGTACATGTGGATATTTTTCATCTAGCTGAGGGATATTCGCATTTTCGTGGATTTTACTCATGGCTCATAAACTATAGTAAGATCGTTATATCATGGGAAAACCTCGGTTTCCACCACATGCTTCGTGAACACATACCTCCATGCATACATATATCGTTTGATATCAACATGGCCAATATCGTATACCCAGCACAAAACAAAATCAAGGGTAACAATCATAACCAAGGGAAACGCGAAGTTGGGCTGGACTAGCAAGCCGCCAGTGCCAGGATATGACCACCCAAAACTAACAGGGGAAATATAGCACGAGGCCCAATTTACCCCCGTTCCCTGGGAGGGACTGCATATGGACGTACCCATAGTACGCTACGCCGTTTCAAATCTCGCGGACCATGCGAGGAAGAATCCCACCACTGACGGACCTCTCCGAAACCCCATCCAACTCCCCCGCCGTAGCGTTCACGACTCGCAACTTCTCCTTCGGCACCGTGAAGGTCACTTGGACCCGTCGGCCCTCCGCCGCACCCTCGACATCCCAGTCGTCGTCCCCGTCCTCTTCGCCGTCGGCATCCGCATACCGGCGCAGGCCATCGGAATACAAGCCGGCACGCTCGTCACCGATCCCCATGTCGTCGCGCCACGAAGGGCCAGCGACCGAGCTTCGCATCCCGGCTCCCCAGTCCCGGGCCCCCTGTTTGCGACGGAAGAGCTCGGCGGAGGCGCTGACGGAGCGGCGCGGAATCCGTGTGTTCCCGTATCCGGCAGCCAGGTGGGTCACAGGAGACGGGCGGCTGCTGCTGCTGCTACCGTTGCCGACGACGGTGCTTCGTCGGTCGAGGTTGATGTCAATGCCGGAGGCGATTGAGGTGAACGCACCGGGGGGTTCGGCGAAGTCTGCCGTCGGTGGTCGACGTCGAGTGAGAGAGAGGACGCGGCGGACGTTGTTGCCGATCCAGTCGGAGGTTCGAGGCCTGCCTATAGTGGGCAAGGCGGTGGGTTTGCTATCGGGCATCGGGAAGAGATCGAGCGTTTGAGCAAGTGGGGAGGTAGGCTCTTCGAGGCTCTGGGAGTGTTGGTGATGTTGGAGGAGGTGTTCGCCTTCGGAGTGACGTTGAGACACCGAGGTCTGCGCAGTCGAGTAGGAATCCGAGGTATAGCATTGTTCCACGAAGGATAGCGCCATGCTGTTCGGCCGGCTGCGCGGGATTTCTCGGCTGCTGCCATTACTGCTGGCGCCACCACTGCTATACGCAGAAGCTGCTTCGGTGGACTTCAGGGGGATTTGTCGTCCGCTTATCGACTGATTGGAGGAGGAGAGATGCGGGAGATTGAGCGCACGGGCTTGCATGGTGGACTTCGCGGAAGTAGTCGATGAATCGGACAGGTTGGATGAAGTCCGGTCTCCTTTGTCTGGCGAGGCGGGGCCACCATCTTGATCGATGCCAATTCCGGCAATGAACTCGGGGGGGACGAGGGGGACGGCTGAGTAGCCAATGTTGACGCCTAAGGGCGGTAGAAAGGCTGATCCTCTTGGTTGGTCGTATGTCTCCTGCGTCATGATCATTCCGGCGTTCTTTGCCTCGTCTTCTTCGCGCTCGTCGATTGGATGGATCTCTCCGGTGGCATCGCTTCTGCGAAACTCGCTGTATTGAGTTGGTGGCCGGTACAATCTCGCTGTTGGGCCAGACAGGTTGGTCTTGGTGGGACTCAATGCTTCCCCAAGCAAGCCAGTGCTCTCCGCGATCGTCCCTCCTGCCTTATCATGCCAGACAGACGACTGCCCAGATCCGCGCTTACTTTTCCAATCGGCAATCTCTTCCATCTCCCCCGAAAAGGGCCTGCGTATGCTGCTCGCCATATTTGGGCCCTCGCCGCCCCAGAAATGAGCTCTTTGTGCGCCAAGAGCCAAGTTCCGTAGCTCTTGATCCCGTGAGCGACGCTCGTAGCGCCTGCGGCTATAGAAGAAAAGGGACACTGCTAAACAAATCACCGCGGGGATCCCCAGACCCAGACCGACTCCAAGCCCAGTCTTTGTGCGCGAATTCGAGGTGCCAGAATCAGATACGTTGTCTTTTCGTGAGTAAGGATTCTCATAGGTTGATACCCAATGCCCCGATGTGACATTGTACAGGTAGACCTGCGAGTTGTCTAGAGAGCTCCTGGAAGAGAGTTTGGAAGATAGATGCGGAATGGGTTGTCCTCCTGCGATCATCATCACTCCTCCAGGAAGCATTGTGGCACCATGTCCGTATATTCCCGCTGCTTCTCCGATTCCAGAACTTGTAATCGATGGTATCCTCCAGGTCCATTCTTCGTAGTCAGCTTCGAGCTCCAGGATAGCTAGCTGCGGTTGAGCTGCGACACTCGTGTTCCCTACCCAGCCTCCGTAGACGATGATTTTGCTACCGTCTGGAGACAGGACTGCTGTATGCCCTGATCTTGGCTCCACCACGTTGACTTCCCGTACGGCAAGTTCTGTTTTGAGCGTGGTCGGTGCAGTCATCACGTTCACAAAACTCCAGCTATTCTGCGGGAGAGAAAAGACGGCCAGCTGCGACATGTTTATGAAGGCGTCCCGGGTCTGGCCTCCAATCAGGAGAAAATCTTGCTGCTTGCGCGGCTCTCCGGTGGAGGAATATGCATAGGACGCCTGCAGGGGTGTGATCGTAAACCCGGCCTCCGCGACTGGAGGGGCGCGGCTGCCAGTTGTAGAGGCGTCATAAGACACAGTATCCCCGGAAGTATGAGGATTTAGAACGATCATCGACTGGGAATAATTTGCAGCGGCCATCCAGGTTTGGTTTGTAGCATTCGTGAACGGGCACATGCCGCCGAATGCATAGATGGAACGGTCAGACGTATTGGTGGGCGCATATGCAAAACCCGCCGAAAGGAAATTAGGCCTATCCACAGCGACACCGGACTGAGTTGCGGAGCTATCTATGGCCAGCTGTTCCCAGGTGCCATTGCCCGCGGAGTCGTTCGCTTTGGGTGTGAACTGCCATATCGCGCCTTGGTCCAGAGTGTCCCGACAGCTACCTGCGAATACCTTGATCACGCCAGCGGCGTCAATGGTAGGTACATAAGCTGAACCGTTTTCATGGTGCTGGAAGGGTAACGAGCTTGTCAGTGTCGAATACTGCGGTTCCGCGGCGTCGACGACTTCCGACACGTTCAAGGCCAGGAGTTCCGTGGTGACATTCTGGCTAGATCCCCTCGAATGCAAAAGATATACAAAAGAGCCATTATGGTCGAGACTGTAGAGCAGGTACGACGGTTCATATGGAATCAGCGCAGAGGTCGGCTCAGCGCAGAGTAGAACGAAGGCAAGTAGAAGCGTCGACACCACGTGGGCGCCGACAAATCTGCGCGTTCCGTGTCCTTGTTGGAAACATCCATCCATGTGTGTGAAGACGAGAGCTTGAGATGAGGTCGAGAGCAAGGCTGATCTGAGACAGATCGCAATGCATCTAGCGCAAGGGTTAGCCCGTTAGCACGATCTGGACAAGGCACGGCTGGAGACCAGATCAGCCGACATGGGCGAGGATCGTCAAACTAGGCCGATCTAATTGCTTTAGATCCGAGCGAGTACTTCAGGATATGGATGAAGCGAGGGTCGAAAGGTATGATGGTGCTACTGGCGGAGAGGGGAGGGAGGGGGGAGGAATGCAGAAGATGGATTTGGGGTTGGTGGCTAGACCAGAGAGAAGAAGAGGAGGAGGAGGAGGAGAAGTGAGTAAGTGACACACTGACATGGATCTCATCAGCAGGCAACATCGCAATTGCGGCCGATCGGATCCGAGTTTAGATGAAATGAGGACTCTGTGGCAGGACGAATTGATTAACATAATCGTCATGGGTGGACTAAGTCTCCGTACGGAGTACGGAGACATAGTGCTCCATAGTACTCCTCGACGGACAGGCCCATCCATCTGAGGACCCATCCAGTATGAAGCGAGAGCAGGAAATACTGAGGGGCTGGGAAGAACGATTGCGCCGTCAACACGGGCGGTTGCACTGGCAACCTGGAGGCTGCATGGGGGTTGATTTCCAGTACTGTCCGGGTTGGCGAGGGTCGAGTGAGGCAATCCAGACAGACTCGGGAAGAGGGAGGAGGGGCAAGAGTCTCCCCCTCTTTTTTTTTTATTATTATTATTTATTTATTTTTTTCAATTGGGCAACTTCTTGAGTTCAATTGACTCCGAGTGACAGTTCAATCGATGCGAGGGGGAGGACGGATGGATGATGAATGATGGAACAAAAGCAAAGGTGGAGCCGCGAGTGAAACAGGGCAACAGACCATCTTCCGGGCCGAACTTTGGGTTGTCTTGTTTACACTCTAATTTACTCTTCTGATTCAAGGTTGAAGGTTCATTTCCTCAGGGTTCATTGGAGCTCTGTCCGACTAAAGTGGGGATCCGACCAATTAAGTTGCAGGTTGGCCTGCCAACTGCTTGCTAGGTACTGCTACTGCTGCTCCTCCTCCTTCTCCTCCTCCTCGGAATCCCGAGTCCAGACCTACCTTACTTATCAGACTGTAACTTAGCACACTTAGCGGATTCGCTAATAGACTACTCTGTAGTAGCACCACCGATAGGGCTGAGATATGCTAGTCACTCGTGGGACAAGCAAGGAGAGAAAACTGACCTCGTGCTCCTTATGCCCAGGCGGGGCTCACGGGCAACAAGAGACCCCATTCATTCTCTCTTGTTATCCCGCTGACCTGAATACACGACCCGCACATTCGTCATCACACCCATCATGTTCCGTCTTGCCACAGTGAGTGGGTGCATTCCTTTCTCACTTATACTCATGATCGAGAGGGAACCTAAGCAGAAAAAAAAAGAAGAAGAAGAAGCGCGATTCGACCGCGCGTCAGACTCTTACGGCCCTTGCAGCGCACGGGCTCATATTCTGCTAGATGACCCCGGTGGGTTGGGGGGGGGGGGGGGAAACAAACCAGGTTATCATTGTCTGCCTATAACACAGCTCTACTCCGTAGTGCTGCTTGGCTTGGCTCGGTGACAAGGGCTCAGCCACATCCCATCCATATCCCGAACAGCATCCTGGGGACTCTTGGGTGAAAGGCGGGGGGGAGGGGGAGAAAGAGGAGGGGCATGAAGGATTTGACATACGTTGCTCAGTGGACATTCAGGAATTCAGAGGCCATGCTCCGACGCGGGATTTGGTCTGATCAGCCCACATTGGGCTTCCTTCTTGTCAGAGCTGAGGTGACGCCTAAATTTGCAGACGGGTAGAGAGCGAGATGGTGTTCCGTTGGTGCGGTAGCAAACATGTTGAGTATTTTGGGGGGGGGTTGAGCGGTGGCGAAGGATCGCGGACGGAGTAGAACGATGCGAATGATAGTACGTCTCATACCGCCTCGAAGCCACCGTTGGCGCAGATACGGGCACATGGCTTCTGCAGTGGAATCATAGAGCCTTTCCACAGTACCAGCTGGCGGTTCTTGAGTCGATCGCGAGTCATATCTTGAAAACACTTAGCATGCTGTGCCAAAATGCCTCGGAAATTATCGGTTCGGGCTATGAATCGCCATATCTTCCGTGCCTTTGCGCTCCATGTCGCCATCCTCTGGACCCAGCAGAGGTAGCGTGTTATGATTCAGAGTGAATCGGGGCCTGCAGGATGATAGACCTTAGACTCTGCACTCTACCAGGATTGTTTCCTTGGCGGTTGACACCGAGTAATCTCTGGTGGAACAATGTGCAGCGATGCTAATAGGAAGAAAGGGGGGGGATGCCATGCTGGCGGAGATGGGTGGTTAAGATGTACAATGTAGGTAGACGGTACATGCTCACTCAGGGGCGTTGACAGATCGACCACCAGCGCCAATAGCTAGTAGTGGTGGCTGATATAGAGTTGCATTTGCTTGGGGATCCCAGGCCCGACATCCCTTCGCAGCTCCAATCGTGTGTAACGAAGAGGATCCGAAGACTAACTTACTCGTGTCTGAGCTCTGTCTGATTGGATGTGATCCAGAACCCTAGGCTGTAACAGGAGACCAGTTCAGCAGTATGCAGGGGGGCATTGAGGTGGATGCCCGGCACGCATTGGGTTGTGCCAGAGTGATATGACATGATGTGACGGTTGACTGGGCACGGGGCTGTCTCCGGCTTTCAGCTCTGTCAGTGATAATCTGACCTGCATTGTTCTCACTCTTTGCGGACCGCACCGGGCAAGGGATGGCTGGGGGGAGGAAGTATGAGTATCTGCAGATATGATGGCCCGTGGTCCTCTTGGCTTCCGAGGATGGTGGCTGGTTTGCGTGTGACAGGTGCGTTCGAGGGGGGTTGGGGATATGCTGGATGTACGGAGCACACCGTAATGGGCTTGTAATGAGCTAGCAGTGAACATCAATACTTTTCAACTTGAACGATCCCAGGGGCAGGGAAGCATCTGCCATTCGGTATGTACTCGCACATACCTAGCAGTCTAGTCCGTACAGTACAGTCAGGACTCAGGAGGGGTATGACTGCTCTAAAAAGCTTGGTCCAAGGACTGGCAACCAGTGAGGTTTGCTCGGATGCAGTAGTGGGTATGCAGGCTCCCCAGATAGGAACTATGAGGATGCCGCTCAGGAGTAGGGGAGGGATAACTCTGGTTGGTGGGATCTAACTTGTCGAGTCCTTGGATTGCTTGCAGTGTGGAAACAACCTTCTGTTGAAGGTAAGCCGGTGAATTCAGTGGTGGGAAAGCTCGGCGGTGCAAAAGGATTATGAAGATGAAGCGGGTGATACCATACGTTAATCACAGTTACTCGAGTATCAGGCCATGTTTATCGGATTTTCCATCCCCTGCGTACGAGTGTAAGGGATCAGTAGGATGGTACATAGTAAGACGTATCAATCAAATTGAAAACAAATAAGGTAAAAAATAAGTGGCGCTGCCCGGAATCGAACCGGGGCGGGCACGGCCACAACGTGACGTCATACCACTAGACCACAGCACCTGTTATTATTGAAAACACATCTCTGCTTGGCTTTATGTACCAACAATCATGGATTCCCGGCTACACGAAGATCTAGAGCATGTTTTCGTCACATTCGTCATCGTCATCTCGATGTTCTTTTGCCTATATGTCTCGGAGAACCGCTGTATCTCAAGGCGATCTCTTCTTTGCCAATATTCTTCATGTTGTGGTGTTATAGTTGGGCACGCCGGCAAATCGATGATGGCCGGGACGCAGTTCTTGGGTATATATCTCAATCGAGATACAAGACTACTCAGCCTACCATTCCATCAACAGCCTGCGCAACGTGGGATATGCGATCGATAGCACCATTAGCCATGAGCATCACACAGAGTGTCGAGCAACAGCTGCCAAATTATATCTCACGACATAGAGAGATATAAGAAATGCATCAATCCCCATACCACCAAATAGAAACAGTGCATAATCTATACATGCACAGCACCCACAGGAGCAGAATCAGGCGCCAGTGGGTCATATAAAATGAACATCTTACCCAATGCACCAGATGCACTCGAGCAAGCCTATAACCTTCAGCGGGTTGCCACCGCTAAACCGATCAAAGGAGCCGATCCCAAGAAGGAGACCATGGCCCACACGCCACAGCAAATGGATGACAGCTAAACTGGATCAGATGAACGCTCGACACCTACTGAGTGATAGGAGGTAGCACATGGGCCGACGCGCGCACCCCAAAGGCAAGCAGAGGAGGAATCTTCATTGACCACACCTGTCCGTAACGGAGAATCGGGAGTCGATAAGCAGAGCCTGCAAACAGGGTGCGATACACAGTCAATCAGCATTCAGCCCCGACTGTAATCTAATTCTATCATTGAAAGAGGCACCTGCTGTCTCAAGTAAACATACAATGGAGGTAGCATCAGCATATAAGACCTGGATGACGTTGTAGTGCCGGTCGAGAATGAGGACAGTGCATGCATGCAGCACGCCTGCGGTGTCTCCCGAGATCCAACGAGGTGCACCAGATAGGTTGGCGACAGATGAATCTGAGACAGAACCAAGGTTCTGTCACTTGCCAGAGTCATGCCTCCCCGCCTGCTCAAAGAAGACCCCGGTCCACTTCCCTGTACATACTCGTAACACATATCTCCAGTGTTGGGAGGGGAGTCCCGCGGATCGGGGGGAACGACTGTAGTAGGCCGTGATGGAGCATCGCGCAATTGATAGTCTCATCTATAAATTGGGAAGATCAATTAGCCCAGGCTAGAGAATTGTACAAGGAACAAGGTGTTTGTTTCATCGCATACCATCGACTAACGCACGGAGGACGGGATTCCATGCCGCTAAAGCAGCCACCCTCTATGGAGCGAATCAGGCTGCTATGCATGAGTGAACCAAAGCCTTGAGGGCTCGGCTGGTCAATGCCTGTAGGTACCGCAGGTACAATGCTG